AAAAAAAAAAAAAAAAAAAAAACTTTCGAATCGGGCCAGCTGACGATGAAGGGTCCACCCAATCGGATGTATACTATGGGAGGAGGCGATGGAGGATGCAAGATGCATCCATGTAGATTAGGAAGATGATCGGGCCAGCTGACGATGAAGAGGCCGCCCGATCATCTAAGACATGATGACCTCAGCAGTCGGGGGACTGCTAATTTTTCGGAACCCCCTGCGTATCACAGATGTGATAAGCTCAAACCCATACCGCACGGCTTCCCGTATCCCTGAGGAAAAATCCCCCGGAAGCCCCGAGGCACGGATGCGGACAAACAAGGGTTTTTTTTTCTTTTTGCTTTTGTTTTCTTTTCGAAACGGCTTTTTCATTTTGTTTGGTTAATAACTCCCGCGCGGGCGAATAGAGGTCACGGTATGAAAACCAAGAAACGGTTTCGGTGGGGACTTTTTGAATTTTTGCGCGCGCGCGCCTAAGCTCTGACTTCTTCGCGCGTCTCGCACCCCCGCTTCTTGCTTTGCATCCCCGCGCCATCTTCCCTTCTTGTGGCGCGCGTTTCCCCTATGCAGGACTCTTCGTCTTCCCCTCCGCCCAGCTCGATCCTTGCCCCATCTTCTCCGCGAAGTGATTGGCCGCGTAGTTGGGATGTTGGGATCAATGTGGAGAGCGGGAAACAACGCACCACTTGGACAAACACCCCAATCACGTAGGACCATGCAATCCCACGGGTCGAACTCTCTAACTCCCCACCTTCCTCCTGTCCTGCTCATCTACAACCTGCGCTGCCCGCACCCCGCGCTGACAACCCGCCGCCTCCCGTGCTATAAATTCGCCCAACCCTCTCCTCTCTCTCTCTTTGATCTCGGCTGCAATACTGCGTGAGCTATGCGCGAAAGTCCGCGGCGCCAATCAGGCTCGACAAGCCCAAGGACAGGCAGAATGACGACGTGGGGTGGACCCGCAGTAGTCTCGGGGCAAAGTAGTCGAAGGGACTGAGCAGTGGTGGGGATTGGACGCCGGCCGCGGCAGGGCCTTGTGGCTATGGTGGTCGGTGGTCTTGGGAGGTTTGAAGGCTGCGCCTAGGGGCGGCAGTTAATTGAAATTTTTGTGTACAAGAAGGACTCGCTTTTATCTCCATTGCTGCTTTGTCTATGCATGTCGTGTGTGTGAAGCCCCGAGTGATGGGAGCTGGTTGTGCGCATGAGTGATGTCGAAGGTCTATAGATGATTAGATGTCTTGTCAAGGGTTGTTGATTGCATGCATGTATGTGTGTATGTACTTGTCCGGGCGGGGATGGGGAAACTGAACTGGGGGACCGTCTGCTTAGGAGTACGAGTGTGTTGATCCTTTTGTTCCCCTCCCCTCCACAGCCTTTCCTGCGCACACGCGCAGTCCCGGCGTAACTCACTCTCTCTCTCGATCGCCTTCCTTTTTGAACTAATAGTCCTCGCTTTTGAACTTCTCGTCCCTGTCCCGGTGACGTCAACCGCCTGCGTCCGCGTGGACGGTTGACGCCCCCACAAGGGGAGAGAGCTTAGATTTTGTTATCTTCCCCCGACGCATCCACTTTTGAGAGAGAAGAGTTGCGTCGAGTGTTGTATGGAGTCGGTGTTGGTTCGGATGACCGGGAGCGCGGGATCTTGCCCGTGTTCATCGCGCCCCTCCGATCGTCTCCTCTCGCTACCGACCTTCCCCATCGCAGATGACGACAGCGTCTACTGCGATGCGAACGTACGGCGCGCGCTGAGACGGACGGAGCACGTGTGCTGGCGGGACCCGCCTCGGGCGTGTGATATAAGGGGGAACGGGTTTGTCTTGATTGATCGCTTTGATTCCCCGACTCTAATATCCTTATACGGGTTTGACGGTGTTGCCCTGGACGGTCGCTCACGCTGCGTGGCGGCCGCAGTTTGATTGTCGCTGGTGTCGCCAGGGGGAGTCGTGTTCGTGGCGACGCTTGGTCCTGGGTTACGAGGGAGCGACACGTTTCCCCGAGCTCTCCCGTAATGCGGGGGTGCTGCCCGCGCAATTTCGAATGCGGATGTCGGCGAGTCCTCCCGCCGTTTCGCCCTCTCGGAAACTTCTGCGCGGACTTTGCGAGTCCGACGCCGAGGCTTGAAGACCTCGAACCAACCACCTTTACAGCATAAACCCGATGGTCCTGTCACTTCGTGAGGCCAATGACGAGGCCTGAAGGCTTCGAACCCACCACCTATCCCCCAAACCCATGACGGTCGGAGTTTCTGTCTTCCGCCGCCATGGCCCTCCCCCCTTGATGCCTTTTTCCGTCCTGATGCACGACGAGAATTCGTTTTTGCTCAACTATCCCTTGAGTGGGATAGGAACGCCGGAGCGTTCGGAACATGGCCCCTAGTCGATTCCCTGTGAAGTTTCAACATACACAAACACTCATCTATCATCTTCCAGAACGGTGACTTGGAGCATTGACTATGACGGCATCCAATTTATCTACGAGAAGTGGAATCTGCTAATGGCTCGTGCCTGCTGTGGCAAGTCCGAGATGTGATACAAGCAACTGTTCTATTGAGGAGGTGGTTGGACGTCTTTGTTGGTATATTCCCGATAACCTATCCACCCCATCACATGCAATTGGTTGTCTGAGCCGGTTGATTGGATGGTTGACCTTTGACTACAGGATACTGAGGCGAACTCATACTAACAAGATATTTAAAAGGTGATATAATCTTATCCCCTCCTCTTTGACTGATTAGGTCATTTAAACCCAGTAGCGTCGTCAATAGGAACGGTACAACCGTTGCTGCTCGACTGATTGGAATTGTGTAGAATTGGGATGGAACCCGAAAACGAGGGTGGCGGCCTTCAGCCAACCCCCTTGACTCCAGACACGACACGATTGGGCCAAGTAATCCAAGATTGCTATCATGGGGGAATTCTACCTAAAGGGCTAATTAGTGAGCACCCTGATCAGATTGAGAGGGGAGAAAACTATGTCAGGGTTAATATATCCCCAAAAGCCTATGCTGCCGAGACGGAGTGGTTAGTTGAACATGGGGTCACTGCTGTTTTTGGTCAAGAGTCAGACTCCTTCTTGGTTGGGTTTAAGAAAAAGATAATAAGAGCCTATGAGAACAGCTGGATAGGTAGTACCATGTTGGGCCCCGATCCCAGACGTGGCTTGTTAAAAAACGAGGGAAGGAATCTCATCTCGTATATCACAAGTACAAAGGAAGTTGCTGAATACCTCCTGCTGAAAGGTACAGACGAGGTGAGGCTGGACGGTAAAATACACAAGCTCACAATCAAACCCTTGATGTCGAAATCCAAACTCCAAGTATGGAGGGAAAACCAACAGATTTGCCTTCTTTTGGGTAAGATGTTTACAGATTCCGTTAGCAGCGTTGCCGGCCATCGAAGAGGCGGTAGGAAAAGCGTTTGGAAGGGTAATCAAGACCCACTCCATGACCAAGAAGCCAGGGGAGCCCGAACTACATAATATACACTTTGATCTAGAGCCTACGGCTACTGAGGAATACATGCCCTACCTGGTCATCGGGATTCACGATGGAAGGGACACTATAGTAACAATAGAGGTCGTTTGTGCAACCACGAAATGGTGTTCGGTATGTAGGCAATATTTTCATTCGGACGATGACCCAGATTGCCCATGGAAAGGGAGGAGGGCAAGACCACCTCCTAATGATACTGAGACGGAACCTCTGAACGTCTTTGAGAAATGCGGAATGGAGAAGCAGAAGGAAAAGGAGAGAGAAAGGGAACGAGAAAGAGGAAGGGGAAAGAAACGGGAGAGAGAGAGGGAAAAGAAGTAGCAGAGGGATATAGAAAAGGCAAAGGAAAAGGAGATTGAAGGGGAAAGAAAAGGGAAGAGTTGAAGAAGAGAGAGAGAGAAACGGAGAGAGAAAAAAAGAAAGAAAAGGAAAGGGAACGAGAATTGGAAAGCGAAAGGAAAAGAAGAGAGGACCTGGAAAGGGAAAGAGCGAGGGAGATTGAAAGACAAAGAGAGATAATGATTGAGCGAGAAAGACTAAGAGAAAGAGAGAGCGAGAGGGAAAGAGAGAGAGAAAGAAGAGGAAAGAGAGAAAGAGAGAAAAGGAGAGGGAACGCGAATTTGAAGACGAAATGGTTAGAGAGAAAGTGACGGAAAACAAAAGCGAAGTGGTAAGGGATAGAGAACAGGAAAGAGAGAGATTTTCGCCACCTTTCCGTCGTCTCTCTACTTCCCCCCCCCCCCCAATCGACCTCTGGTCATTTAATGGCAATCGCACGTACAAATGGGAGCCCAGATAAGTTGATACCCATTGGTTTTATTACCAAGCACGGTAACTCCTTGTTTATGTCCCACGGGACCCCCTCATCCCCAGGGGTCGATTTGAATGATGTTCCCACAGATGAAGAAGAGGAGGAAGCGGGTCCTACACCAACTGGAGAGATACGCTTATTAACATACGGAAGAACCGATGTCGATGATGTCCGAATGGTAGATCCCCTCCTAGTTGTACCAGTTGGTCCCACCGCTAAACTAGCAGGGGGAACTTTGGGCCCGGAATCACCTTCGAAGAAACAGAAGAAGGGAACTTCCAGAACGACTCCGTATCCGACAGAAACAATAGGCAGGAAGTTGCAGAAAGCCAAAGCGAAAACAACAGAGGTAAGACAATCTCTAACCAGGGCATTGCTAATGAGTACAGCTTCGAGAAATGAGAAGAGCAAGATTGGAAATTACATTGTGCCTCTGATTTGTTCCTCATCAAATCAGGGGCCCCTTCTACTTACAATGAAAAGCCTCTAAGTGGAGTTCG